TGTGTGTGTGTGTGTGTGTGTGTGTGTAAAAAGGTTAATATTTCTAATGAAATTTCTGAGAAAAAAAAAAACTGAGCACACCGAATGCGGGATAATTTGCATGCCATCCTGAACATATTCTGTATGTAAATTATTGTTGTTACCTTTGAGGTAGCCCTGAGGTGTTCGTGAATGCCGGGTCTGCATGAAAACAGTAAGCGTCACCACGTTTCCCACCACAATAGCAAAGGCCAGGCTAACCATGAACATGACCACCAGTGTTCGGTTTAGTAGTCCACAGCAGTGGGCTGTGCAAAGAGGTGCCAAAGTTTGTCCTGCACCTTGAGATTCACTCGCTGTCTGATTACCAGTCTCCATTATCCCAAGCTGAGGTCCTGGTTCCCTGGGTACGCTAAAGATGGCCAGTAGTGAAGCCTTGGTACAGTCTTCATGCCTCTAACAGGCAGTGATATAAATAAGTCAAGTCAGTATTTTAGGTGGTTCTTTTGTTAGCCGTGGATCACAACCCTGTAAAAGAGCAGAGAAAACAATCTGCACGGTTTGTACAATTCAACATAATCAAGGCAACATAAATACACTGTAATCAAAGCTTATTACACTTGTATTACACTTGTTGTTGCATGGTAATGATAACAAGCCTGTGTAAATGTATGCTTACAAATCAGTCTCCAATATTATGTAGAATTGGTAACGGCAAATATACAGTGGGAGAATATTCAAAAGGTGGATTGCCAAACATATTTAACAATCAATTAAAGTGAATAATGTCTTAATAGTCTCATTTATATACTTCTTTTACATTAAGAATGGTTGTATCTTAATTGAATTTACTGAATTTACTAAGTATATTTAGTTTAGCTACAGAAAAATAGAGGTGCATTTGGCCAACGCTTGTACTTAATCTAATTAATATTATTAAGTTTTCTACATATACTTGGCTTGTAATTGTGTTTACACTTTTATATAGTAGCCTAATGGATGCATTTTTATAAATATTGACCTTTTTGAGGTAGTACTGCAGCATGTTTTACATACAATCTTTTTAGAACGATACTACAATTTGGATAGATGGTAAATAAGTAAAAAATAATCCTCACTAAAACCCTTAGCAAATTGTTCTTTTATGTATTTTAATAATGTTTAGATTTTTTTTTTGTACTGGAACAAGACGAAAACACTGATTTAGACAATTAATTTTGCAGTGTCTCCTGTGATGCTCTTTGTACTGGCATACATGAATAGATAAAGTGGGAGAAACAAAAATGATGCATAAAGACTTAAAAGAAGGGTGTAAAATACCTCCACTGTTGTTGTGAGACATTCAATGTAATTAGCGAGGCTCTAGGAATTTTTTTTGTCCCAATAGCTATTAAAGATGTTTGCTAGGCAAGCATCGCTGTTTCTATCGGTCATATAGTTGTCACGTGTATGTTCCCGTTGAGTTCCGGTTTTCCTTATTTGGTCCTTCCAGTTCCTTTTCGCATTATTAGTATCACCTGTTCCTTGTTATTAGTAATCCCCATCACCTGTCTTCCCCTCGTTATCTGCCCTATTTAGTTCTAGCCCGTTCTGTTCTCCCTGGTCTGGAATTGTTTATGTCAACTCTTTGTGCTACGTGTGATTCCCTGAAATAGATAATTAAACTCCTTTGTTTTGTACTCCTGGTCTCCTCGTTCCTCGTTCCGTGCTCTTCACACTACCACCAACCGTGACAATAGTATTGTTATTTTAAAATGCTATTTTAACGAACTCCTGATTGTATTTACCCTAAGAGCATAATTTGAGAATTGCAATGCGAATTTGAATGTAAGGAAGTAGAATTACAATAAATAGAAATTCAGGACAAACTTTGAATACTGGCTTGTTTGAAAGTTTAATGGCATATATAAAGAACTATGCACAGGAAAGGACCATTCATATTTTCTTCTATTTGTAGGTAATGTGGCTTTGAGTACATTGTTTCTGGGAGATTAATAGTGCTGCAGAAAAACATGAACCAAAATAAAAACCTATGAATATATTACAATTAGAAAGGTGTTTGTGGCCATGATGGCACTCATGCCATCTGTTCAGTCTTATAATTCTTGCAGCATTTCTTCAAATAGAACCCTGACATTAGCCACGACTGCTTTCAGTGCTTTTAAACAAGCAGAACCCTACTGAGAGTTAGACTCCAGCTCTCAGCGTACTAAAGGAAATTTAGCATGATAAATATTATGTGAACATTAAAATAGAAAGCTTTGCTCGGGCTTCTTGGCAGTTATGACAGCGTCTCAGCTGGACACCAACACACACACAGCCAAACTCATACACTCTCTCTCTCGATCTCTCATTATCTGTCAAAAAGTTTTACATCTTTTACTACACATGCATTTAGTAGGAAGTAGGCCAGGGTTTCTTCTAATGAATCCAGCCAGGACATTACATTAGCAGTGTCTAATTCATTATGAATCAGATCTGTGAGATCAGAATCAAACTTAAAACTTCAATTGTGGTTTGTTTCACATTGCATTTGGTGAAAATTGGAAATGATCTGCTGAAACTACCAAACCAAAAGGTCAAATTTAACTGATGCTCAAAGTGTGTGTATATATCTTTGTTTCCAAACCTAATAAGCTGCCTTTGTTATTAAAAAAGAAAAGAAAAAAAGATAGTAATTTTAACAATAACAGACTGTTAATAATGGTAAGTTATCTTACAAATGAATATACATGAAAAAGTGTAATAGATCTAATAAGTATGTAATATTTTAATATAATGTAATACTACTGCAAAATATTTTAAGTGTACAGTTTTTGAAAGAATAAGAAATAAAGTGCTTAACTGATATTTAAAGAGGAGAATTCAGAAATGCTTGTTATTAGCGACACCAGTGGCTGTAAAGTGAACTGCAACTTATTTGCTTGCGCTCGCATGTACACAGAGCTAAAACATACTGTTTTTTGCTATTTGCACTTAGTATACTTGTGCAAATAGCCTCTGCCATAAAAAAACACATATAACACAACAATAGTAACTAGTGAGACTCTATTTTTCTCAATGCCTTTCTGTATCGATTGTAATATGAGTACATTTAACTATTAACATATTTCTGAGAGATTGCCTTCACCACAAATAAATACATGCAATTCTGTTTTCTAATGTGTCTTATAAAATATCTTATGAAGCAACATAGCTGTTCACCTTCTGCAGTCGCCTTCATGGTGGGACCATGCTTGTGGTGCCTTAAATTGCTGCCTATGTAGACAGCTTACTAGGTTTTGGAATAAACTGTGTTGAATGTGACTCCGAATTGTGAAGGATAAATTGCATTCAGCCTAGATTTTGTGGACATCTTTGGTTCGTTGCATGATCTGCATCATTTATTTAGTGAATCAGCGAAGATAGGGCTTAGTGTAGGTGGGGGGAGTGAATGTACAGCGCTCTCTACCACCTTCAATACCACGACTGAGGTGCGCTTGAGCAAGGCACCGAACCCCCAACTGCTCCCCGGGCGCCGCAGCAAAAAAATGGCTGCCCACTGCTCCGGGTGTGTGTTCACGGTGTGTGTGTTCACTGCTGTGTGTGTGCACTTTGGATGGGTTAAATGCAGAGCACTAATTCCGAGTATGGGTCACCATACTTGGCCACATGTCACATGTCACTTACAAATAAACGTGCTTTCAGCAGGTGCAATTCATTCATCCTTCTGTTTCTATTCATTCAGTTTCTAATTCATGTCAGTATTCCCACCTCCAAGTGAACACTTAACCTAATAAGAGTTTTGTATTGCTCTCCAACCACTCATTACTTTGCCATAACTTGAGAAAGGCTGAAAGCTGAAACATATTTAGCATTTAGCACTTAGGACTGCCTATCATATTGTGCCACTAAATATGCAATTATACATAAATACGCTACAGCCCAAGAGACATTGCCTTGACCAAAATTTAATACAGCATTACATGTATATTTCACAGAGAACAGTCCCAAAATGCATTGCAGCACGCTCAGTGAAAATTGATAATAAACGTACATTTCATTCAATACTGTAAAAGTATACTGATAGTGCTGATTCTAATTAAAATGTAGTATTTCACCTAATATTTGTGTGCTGCATGTATACTATGCTTAATAGAGTGTTGTGTTGTTAGCTTAGCAACATTCTAATGTCAAACTCTTCGTACTAGCATATTAAAATCAATTGTGAGCTGGATCTTCAGTGTGCAGAACCAATCATGTGGTGTGTGGAATTCTTTCTTGTTTAGATCATTCCAAATGAAATGTCACTTATGAAGCATTTAGGTAGACAGACAGCAAAGCAGCTAACTAGGTTTTGGAACAGGGCCACTCTGTCAGCCAAAAGCAATACACATTAAATATTGTGCATCATTTAAGTGATGGTGGAAGTGAACTGTAAACAAATAACATTCTTTAGTATGTCGTGGCAGCAAATTGCTTTATATGGAAGTCTCTATAGTTCCAGACAGACTAGGTCCAGCCTCTTTATCCAGGGCTATAGAGTAGACAGTCAACTGGAATAACGGAGTGACCAGTGCTGGACCCTGAAGCCCCGGGGGCCTGTAATTCTCATGGACTGTGAGTATGTGTCTGTCTTAATCTTTCTGTCCAGCCTTTAATCTTCCAGCCTCTGCTTTTTCACACTCATTTCAACATCTTGCTCATGTTTGTTTCACACTTTCACTCCGCCTCACTTAATCAATTTCGTTTACTGCTAAATGTGTAGGCACTGCTTTAAAGAGTTTATTTCTATTAACTGTTTATTAAATCAAAGTTGACCCTAATTATGATTGATACATTGCAGTTGGTGAATTTTATTTTCAATAGTTATAGAAAGAATAGAAAAAGTCGCATTGAATATTGTAATCGCTTATAAATTGTTAATAAATAGCATATTTCCTCATCTGAGTAAATTGTTAGTTGAAATCAAATATTTTGGAAAGTGGGTTTTTTAAAAACATTTTATTATTATTGTGCATGCAGCTTTAATGTCCTCATATTGACTTACAAAGTACATTAAGTATTTGTAATAGAATTTAAAAATGCAAAAAAAAAAAAATTTGTTACACAACAGCAACATTCAAAATGAAGGAGTGAGAACTAATATGATTAAAAAGTGTGAAACTTAAGATATGGTGGCTCGTCACAGGACCTAAAATGTTTGTCTTTTACAATAAATAAATAAGTACATATAAACATATGTACATAAAATCAAATATTATCAAGATTTACAAGCAAATGCCATGTGCAGGACTTTTCTTTCCTTGATGCTGACTTGTGAGGGGCGTTTAATGGTTCATTCTCAATTCACATAAAAAAAATGACAAAAAACATGGCCCTTTTAGTAAAGATTCCCTTTACTTTTACAGATAAACATGATTTACAAGAAATATGATTTTTTCCCCATCTACAGCAGTTATTTTCATGTAATGCTCTTACCTGTATATTCTATTCCTGAAAACTGTGTCTGAGTAGCAAAACAACAAGGTAATACCCACTGTCAACCGCCAGTCTTTGTCCAGTCAAGATGTACAATAAAGTCCAGTTTGATTCATGATTGAATACATTCTCCCATCAGAAAACAGCAGGCAAGCTGTTTGTAGCTTTTGAAATGATCTCTGTCAGACCTCTGTCCTTCCCCGTTTTTCTTACCATCCCCTCCTCTGTCTCGCTGTCCACGTTTTTCTTCCTCCCACTCTATATATTACAGCCTCTTACTCCTTGTTGACCTAGTCTGTCTAAAACTCTCTCTCTCTCTCTCTCTCTCTCTCTCAAACACAGCTGCAAGCTCAAGCATTACAGTTACATATGCATTCCACTCTCCTCCTCCTCTCTCTCAGTGCGTTATTCTCTCTTTCCTCACAGTGGTCCATTTGCTATGAGAAGGCCACTTTCATCAACCCCAGAAAAGCTGCTGTGAATCAATGGATCCTGACTAGCTCTAGTCTTGCACACTTTTTACCCATTATTGTTTTTCAGCAGAAAGGCCACTGCCTCATTCACTCTCTATTCACCTCATCTTACAGTATGTTTTTCTTCCACAGCATTCATAAAATAAAATAAAATACACACGCAGTACACCTACAGATACACCTACAGATACAGCGGGGGACATTTGTTTATTTTTTATTTTATTTTTTACATTTAAAATTGAAAATTAAAAGAAAGCTTGAATGCAAATGTTTTGAATGGATGTGCGTATCACCAGTGGCTTAATCACCAGATGAGGTTATATTGTTTATTGCATTGTTTATAATGGCCTTCAACTTCACTTTTTTTTCCTGAATGCCTCCACAGTCATTAAAAGTTTAATCAAGCCTTCTTAATAAAATTACTTATGAAACATTTGCATATGTTCTTTTTTAAAATAGATTTCTTATATAACAATTTTTTCTCTTTTCACAAGAGTGCTGTTTTTGCATGCAAAAAAATGTTGTGGGTGTTTGCCAAGGCATTGCTATGTAGTTATTAAGGTGTTCCGAGTTAAAAAAGGCATTTTTTTTAAATATACATCAGGCTTTTATGGTTCATATTACGATACAGTATATGACAATATGGAGCCCATACTCATAGAGGCAAAAACACCTTAGTGCACCTTGGTGCAGTTGCTGATGTTTATATGACCAAAAAGTAAATTCTGAGAGCTTGTTATGTAAATCAGTGAGATGATAACAGTATTTATTATAAATATCAGTTTTCACTCTATATGTGCGAATAATATGTCTTATAGTATTTAAATGCTTAGTTTTATTATCAAAGCTATGTCGTTTTATCTGTGTGTGTCTAATAGAATATGCAAATAGAATCAGAAAGTTGTGCATATTTAAATGTAATCCTAGGAGAGTACCTCCTGCAGGATCAGATGATTTTGCATGTCTGAGTAAGGGAAAGGCAGCTTATAATGCACTTACATTATTCTCTAAAGACTAAATGAAAAAGTACTAACTGACTAAATTGGGCTAGACATTAATATCATGAATGATTAACAACCTCTCCTCTCTGGAATCAAATTGCATTTAGCATCCGAATATAAATGTGTACAGGAATGAAAAAATAAAAAATAAAAATGTCTGAATGTGCCAGTCAAAGTAATCCTATTAAGACTAGACATATGTGTACTTTCCGTTCTCCTGTTGGCAAAATGTATGAACACATTCTGCCAATCCCCAAAATAAATATTGGTCAAAAACATTCACGCTGGCAAGCACCATTAAGGGGATTACACAATGGGTGCATTTCCCCAGCTCTGTCAGTGAAGCCATATCTCCACGCTTTGATAAATGTTCACATTTTCAAGTAAAGCTGAGAGTGTTTGAGGTAGTTTTATTTATTTATCAAATTAAGATTAATTACATTTTGGAATATTAATAATGTAATATGTACTTTTAACAGTAATGTTGCCCATCACTGATGATAACATAACTTGAAGTAAAGAATTTTTTACCTTTTTATAATTAAAGTTAATTTTCATAATTCAAGTCATTTATGATAGCAGTAAGGTCTTCAGCAAGAGCTGAAAGGTTATATTTTGAGTTTGGCTGCAGGCTAATGACGGCAGATATGACCCACTTCCATCTCTAATACACTTGTGAGATGGCATAGCCTACTGCATGTCATTAATAGTTCATTACATTCAAAACATTTCCTAATCTCTCTGACCACTACACTACTGCCCCAGCACTGCAGGGTGTCATGCAAGTAATTAGCGAGTACTTATTAAAAACTGCTCATGTGGAATTGAAACAAGTCCATTTCAGTTGTCTCCGTCCAGGCTGAAAATGAGAGCAAACACATTTTACCTACTTTTAGTATTAAAAACTGACTCTCTCTGCACTATAGCTTCTGACTGAAAGTAAGATTTAATTTGTTAACTACATTAGTTATATTTACAAAAACATTTTTAAAAACGAGTTTTGTTAATGCACTTAGACTAACATGAACAATGAACAACTGTATTTTTTTATTAACTAACATTAACAAAAGTTAATAAATGCTGTAAAAGTATATTGCTCATAGTTAGTTCATGTTAATTACTGCATTAACTAAAGTTAACAAATGAGACCTCTATCTAGTGTTGCCAGGAATTGTAATCTGTGTTAATGTTGTGTTCACTCTCAAGACTGCATTACCACATTCTTGGGTAATTTTGCCCTTGCCCTTTATTTCACATGGGCCAAATATGGTTGTGCTTACAAAATGTGTTCGTAAAATAATGGTGAAGAGAATGATTTTGTGTCATCGTTTGTATTATACTCGTCTAGAGTAAAACAAAAGCATTCATACATTCACAGTGTTCCTTGAGTATTCTTCACCTTCAATAAAGTCAATATGGATTACATTTGAAAAGAGATTTAAAAAATGCACTAATCACATTAATGTTAGAGTACAAGTTTAGTTTAGCTTAAAAATATATATCTGAAGTGCAGTGTGCTATAACATATAGTGGATGAAGAGTATAAAATGTGTGGATATACTGTATAATGCAGCTTATTACTAATACTTTCAGAAATCTACAAACACGTGAGTCTATGAAGAGCAAGAAAATATTAACTTAAATAAACCTAAATCAATTGATCAAAAAACATTTTGGCCAAATGTAATTTTTCAACAGAAGATTTACATATTTTGCTTCTGGAATTTTGTGTGTTTTATTCTTTACAGTGTAGTCAAAATTTTTTAAATTTTATTTATTTAACCTCAATCTCTTTAAAATCATTACAACTTATTGCAACATTGTATTGCACATTGCAAAACTCTGATTTTGGGGTTTACAAAACTTGTACTTACTGGCACTGTCATTTGATGAATCTATGTTTCAGCCAAGGTGTGCATCATTTTGCAAATAAAGGTTTTTTTCTTGTTCTTCTTTTTTTTCTGCGGGATTACAAAATCACATGAGTGTTGTCTGTTCTTTAAATGCAAACTGAACGGTAGGACCTACGTGCTGCCTTTGGAAAGTTTTGCTAACTTAACCTCTTATCTACCTTTAACCTGGATAGTGTCAACATTCAAACACTGATAAATTTCCCTGATTAGGTAATCTGTGAGTTTAGATTAGGTTTTTTTTAGCTGTATCAACCTCATATAAATGCCAGAGCCTCAACGACCACAATACAATACAAGACAACTCCTTTTACAATACATTTTCATCATGAGGTGGTAAGTTTCTGCTTTGTTTCCTAAAATTTAAATTATGTTTCAAATAGTGATCAAGTATTGCATAATTTACCATTCGAATTGCAATTGCACTGCAATGCATAATGCATTATTAATTAACATCTGTTCAAACAAGTGTTCCTCTGAAATGAACAGATTATTTCTCGTTGATGATGTCTTTTTTTTTTTTTTTTTTTTCTGCCTTTCTTTGTTTGTCTCTAGCCTATCTGTGGCTGTGCTGCTCTTGGGCACTATTACTTGCCTGCCAGATGCGTCTCTTGCTTTGGATAGAGTCAGAGAACATGTTTCGGGTAACAGAAACGCTCCTCATCAGACATGACCCAATACTCAGCTCCAGTTAAAGCAGTAAAGTGCTTATGGAATTTATTGTAATACAAAAAAACATTTTAAAACATCCTTGTGTCATTGGCTACAGTGTAAGCACGAATGTAGTTCATCATTAAAACTACTTTCTATACAACAAATGCAACTTACTACAGGCCAAAATCCTATCAATTTACAACAGCACTGTAACATAAAAAAACTCTGAAAACCTTAACAAGAGCATAACAAAATTTTACCAAGCACCACTGACGTCTTTTCTTTTTTTTCATAAAATTTTAAATGTAGTTGTGAAGCATGTAATGTGTTACAAATACGCAGTTTTTAGTTATGTTCAGCTGTAGCACAACGACTATCAACAGCTGCTTAATAGAGATCTCATTCTCATTTATACAGCTCACAGGATTTCAGCCCTACGCCCCAAACGAATGGTGGGGGGATTACTGACCGCATCCGTCCCCTGGCAGGCAATGGTGTACCTCAGTGAGAACATACTGGATGGAGGTTTTGCTGGAGGAGCCCTGATAGCTGAGCAGTGGGTACTGACTGCTGGCCGCAATTTATTTGTAGGAAAGAATCAAAGCCAGACAAGAGGACAAGAACCACTTATCCCAAAAGTCTATCTTGGAATCAGCAAACGTGTTCATGCAAACGCCTCTACAGAAGTAGCCGTGGAAAAGGTAAATATCCACGCAACCCACCAAATTCCAAACCAAGCTAATTTGCTAAATCATAATCACCATATATTTGTGTATCTACATATAAAGACACTTATGGGTAAAGTGCTACAGTACAAAGAATAGCTTAAAAATCTTTGGAACGATAGGTGGCGCTGTTTTCAAACTTCTCAGGTGGCTTCAGGGCATACTGTCAATGCCTGTGCTGATACTGTATGTCAAAGCATTATATATATGTGACCCTGGACCACGAAACCACTCATAAGGGTCAATTTTTTGAAATTGAGATTTATACATCATCTGAAAGCTGAATAAATAAGCTTTCCGTTGATGTATGGTTTGTTAGGATAGGACAATATTTGGCACATACAACTATTTGAAAATCTGGAATCCGAGGGAGAAAATCGCCTTTAAGTTTTGATATATTTACGGTAGGAAATTTACAAAATATCTTCATGGAACATGATCTTTACGTAATA